CCTAGAAGAAATAGATAAATTCCAGAAACAAAATCTTCCACGGCTGAATTAGGGAGAAACAGAAAATCTGAACAGCCTGGTAACTACTCACAAAATCAAATCAGTAATCAAGAAAACTTCCAGCAAACACCTGGACCAGATGGCTCCACTGATGAGTTTTACCAGATTTTCAAAAAGATTTATTACCTACCCTTCTCTAACTATTCCAAATAATTAAAGAGCGGGGAAGGCTCCCAAACTCACATTACTAGTCCAGCATTAGCCTGATAACAAAACCAGTAAAGACATTAAATAAAATTATAGGCAAGTATCCCTGATGAACATAGATGAAAAATTCTCAACAGAATATTAGCAAATCAAATTCAGCAATACATTGAAAAGAACATAAAACATGATCAGGTAGAAATTCTAACAGACATGCAAGGCTGGTTTTATATCTGCAATTAGCATGATACACCACATGAACATAATGGAAGATAAAAACCATATGACACTGACAGGTGCAGAAAAAAATCTGCCAATATCCAATATCCTTTCATAATAAAAACTCTAAGCAAAATGGAGATAGAGGGAACATACCTCAACATAATACAGGTCATATGCAATGAAGGTACAGCTAACATCATATTCACCTGTGAAAAGCTGAAAGCTTCTTTGCTAAGACTAGTAATAAGATGAGGATGCTCACTCTCTCCACTTTTATTCAACATAGCATTGAAAGTCCTTGCCACAGCAGTCAGAAGAGAAAATGCAATAAAAAGCATCTCAATTGGAAAAAGAGGTAAAACAGTCATTATTTGCAGGTGAAATGATACTCTTCATACAGAACCCTAAAGATTACACCAAAAAATCTATTGGAACTAATAAATGATTCAGTGAAGTAGCAAGAGAGAAAAATTAATATTCTGAAATTTGTTTCATGTTTATACACTAATAATGAAATATCAGAAAGAGGTATTAAGAAAACAATTCTATTTACAGTTACTTCAAAAAGAACAAAATACCTAAGAATAAATTTAACTAAAGACCTAAATTTGTAGTTGGGGAAGAAACTGAAACTACAGAAGGGACTGAAGAAGATACGAATAAATGAAAGCATGTACCTACCATGCTCATGGATAGGAGTAATCAACATCGTTAAAGTGTCCATACTACCAAAGAAACCACAGATTCAATGCAATCCCTACCAAAATATCAATGGCATTTTTCACAGAACTAGAACAAAATTTAAATGGAACCACAAAAGACTCCAAATAGCCAAAGCAATCTTGAAAAACAGGAAACAAGTGGGAGGAATCATGCTACCTAATATCAAGCTATCATACAAGGCCATAGTAATCAAAACAGCATTGTATTGGCATAAAAAAACAGATATATCGACCCTTGGAACAGAATAGAGAGCTCAGAAATAACTTGGAAACTAGGAGATAGTTTTATTTTCTGTTTCATTGCCGCCTCCTATTACCCACGCATTCTAGAGTGAATAAGGGCCTATTGTCTCCTACTATTATGAAGGGGAAAAAACAAGCGGGGGCAGTGAAGGCTGCTTATGAGCTTTGCGGAAAAAATGTGTCAAGAGGGATTAGTTTTAAGGGGTTTGCTCTAATGATCATTATGGAAATGATCTACCTCGTTTTTTTAAAACAGCTTCCACTCCTCGGGTTGTGGCAGATCTTTTTAAGATCTTGCTTAAAAGCTTTTTGTAGAATTATGCAATCAAAACAAATCCCATGTTTTTATTCCTCTTAAAGTACAGTAATTGCTGTTTTCAGTAGAGCATTGATCATTATAAATGTGAATTCATTGTCCTTTCTTTTTAATGTGCTCCTTAGCACATAAACTAAATATTACGTTAATTCTCATACTACCTGACTGAGAAGGGATAAATAATTACTCTAAAAATGGAAATACAAGAGTAGATTTGGAGAGTGACAATTATACAGTTGCTTAAACCAGTCACTCAGTATATTATAAGCCAAACTGAGATGCATCTGACCAAAACAGTCAAAAAATTAAGATAATCATAATTAAATCAATATTCAGTGATAAGTAAAAATTTATATACAGCAGGTGGCAAAGTGTTGCAACACAAATGCCATTTTACTTCCATATGTAGGTTCTAACACATGATGCAGTTCAACCACTGAGCACTTGTAAGATTCTGAAGAGATGTCAGCACTGTTCAGGGGAAGTAGATTTTTAGTTTAGGCAATGAGGACTAGGATTAAATGAGTGGGGATCTGTGAGTTTTGGATTTAAAAGGGAAATCCATCTACTGAAAAAAATAAATCTTTGCTTTAGGAAGTTTTTTTTTTTTAATTTTTTTATTGTTCAATTACAGTTACCCTCATTTTTCCCCCATTACTCTCCCCTGCCCTACCCACCCCCACTTCCCACATTCAGTCCCCGCCAGCCGCCCCCCCCCCCAGCTGGCTTTGTCCGCGGGCCCTTTATGCATGTCCCTTGGCTCGCCCCTCCCCCCTCCTTCCCCTATGATGCCCCTTCCCCCTCCCCTCTGGTCACTGTCACTTTGTTCTTTATTCCCATGTCTCTAGATCTATTTTGCTTGCTGTTTGTTTTGTTGATTAGGAAGGTTTTATTTTTATTAAAATGCCTTTAAAATCTGTCACGATTCCCTCCAGAGGTGGTGAATTATTTTCTCTATTTGATAGTTCAAATATATTTTGTGTACAAAAAAAATACCAATTCCAGAATGAGAGGGATACATTCAGTACTCTAACTAGGGACTTGATTTAATCATGCTGTATATGTGCATGTTTTTCCCTGCTAATTTACATTTCCTAAATTACATTTACCACTTATTTTTCCAAGCAAATAGCTTTCTCTTAAATAAAATTAGTCATCTAAATTCCATTGCATTTGGCCAGTATTCTATATAGCAGCCTCACAGAGTGGATAGGATTCTTCTGATTTTTAATAGGTGCCATCCTTTTTAGGGTCATCTATCAAAATCAAAGATATTGTACATATGTTTATTAAATCTAAATGTTCTAAATCTTAAGAATTCATTTCCAGTTCTCCTGTTTGCCATGTCTCTGGCTGCCATAGTGTTCTTCCACTTTAGTAGTAGATACACATAGCTGTTCTTTACAAAGAAGTTTGACATTCATGTGCCCTTCTCTGCATTTTCGACAGAAGCAAAACAACAATGTTAGGGAAAAAAAACCTTAGAAAATTACCAGAATATAAGAAATTTAGACTTGGTTTTTCTAGGACTTTTCTCAGTTAATCAGAACAGACGAGATTTCAATGTATAAATTCTCTGGTAAATGATTAAAGGAAGGCTTGCTAGAATTTCTAATAGTTTTTTGGAAATGATTAGAAGCAAAGTATAATTTATTGTTCATGTCTGCATGACATAATGAAAAGACTTAATATAAAAATAAATGGAACCTCAAAACAGTAAAAAATGCAATTTAGCAGACCATAATAATTTGAGATGTTTAGTTATAGCAAGAAACAATATTGACTTAGGAAAAAGCAGAAGTTAATGTGTTCTTATATATGAGCATAATTTAGAAAACTTTATCTACTACTATAATTTTTTTTCAAACTAGATATTATCCTATAAGAAATAAAAAGTTAAAAATAAGACTATAGTCCAATTTGGTATGGAATCGAGTATTTTCATCCTGGATGATTTTATTTTATGTATGTTATATAGATACTGTAGATACTGCTAGAATTGTGACTAGGATTTCTTTTTTTTTACATCTTCTTCCAGAAAAATACCGTACTTAGAAAAACATGAAATAAGTTATTAGGTAATTTTTATGATTTAGATTTTATTATTATTGAAAATACCCATTTGCAGTGTCTCCTGAAGCCATGGGCACTGGCGAGGCAGCAGAGACAAGATGGGCACCGCAGTCAGGGGGCGTTTGGGTCCTAGGCTCACCTTCCTCATTTACTTAACTGTGTCCTTGGGTTTATCATTTGGTATTTGTATGTGGTCTCTGAAGGAAATTAAATGTTGATGTCTACATAGTGTTATGTTAAATCCATAATGTATTCCATAAATTTGACAAGTTTTATTTTAATCTTTTTAAAAATCTAGGCTTCTGAATTAAAGTACCAAATGCAGATATATGGAAATCTGTGAAAAAGTACCCTCTCAAGTTATAAGCCAATGCCCTGGTGATAATCTGTATGGGGTGTTGGCCTGTAATTAATTTCCTTTTCTCTTAACAAAGTTACTCGCCACTCATGGGCACCAGTGTCATTTCGTTTAACTTTGAGAAGCTGATCTGGAACTCAACTGGCCCCTGCTAATGTTTCAGGTGGCTTAGCTTTTTCTCAAGCAAAACGTCCTGTGTTGGAATCTGTATAAAATACTTGAGCAAAGTTCTTCTGTTCAACCTATTGACTAACAATAGACTCGAGGCATCAACATTTCTTATATCCCTCCCTGGGATCAGTAAGGCATCACTTTACAGTATTATTAACGTGAAAAATCAGACAGATTTTGTAGGCAGAGACTCTACAAAGTATGTTTCTCAGAGCAGTTCTGCTGGGACATGGGTGGGATGGAGAACTTGGCAGGGCTGTTCCGTAAGGAAGATCTGTGAGCTTCTAGCAGAGTCTGATCTAGTAGAAACTTGCAAGAAATGTCCTCCACCATAGTGAGTAAGGGTGAGTTGTGTTGCCAAAGTGAAAGCCTGTCTTTTTCAGACAGTTTTTATTTTTTCCTTCTGTATTTCTCATTTCATAAGGCTTGAAAAATAATATGTGGTATTGGAAATAAATGTGTGTTAATTTCCCACTTAAAATTTCAACACATTCTACCTCAGTTTCCTAATGTTCAGAATGGGGATAATATAACCTACTTTACAATAATATGTAAAAATGAAAAAAAAGCCACTTATTTGTAGAGATAATGAAAAATAGGTTTTCATATAAAATAATGAGATCATAATAATGTTATTATGTCTTTACTTTTATCTCATCATTTAAATGATATTTCTCTTTAAAATCTACAGATGGTTCACAAGCACCAGCCAGACCTCCTAAACCACGACCCCGCAGGACTGCACCAGAAATTCACCACAGGAAACCCCATGGGCCTGAGGCAGCATTGGAAAACGTTGATGCAAAAATTGCAAAACTCATGGGAGAGGGTTATGCGTTTGAAGAGGTGAAGAGAGCCTTAGAGATAGCCCAGAATAACGTCGAAGTGGCCCGTAGCATTCTCCGAGAATTTGCCTTCCCCCCTCCAGTCTCCCCGCGTCTGAATCTATAGCAGCCAGGACTGTCAACGCCCAAGTGTAAAGCAATCGGTGCATATTCCAGGAGTGTGGAAAGCAGAGAAGTGCAGTAGAATTTAAGAAGGAAGGTGTCTCGTCCTCATGTGTCGTCTTGAGAGAGGCTTGAAAGGGCTGCTTCTCAGAAGACGGCTGTGTGCTCAGGAGGTCAACAGCTGCGGCTTCCTTGTTTTTGCTAGCCATACTTTTAAATCAGGGTTGAACTGACAAGAATAATTTAAAGACGTTTACTTCCCTTGAACTTCAAATCTGTGAAATGCTTCTCCTTGTTTACAAGTTGGCGAAGTTGCAGTTTGTTTTTAGTTTTGTTTTGTCGACACTTGTACTGTGTTCTTGACAGACCCTTTGTAGAGAGGTCAGGTCTGCTGTAACATTCCCCGCCGCCCCCCCCCCCCCGCCGTCCCCTTCACACAGCTCGGCCGCAGACTCGTTTGGATCTCTCCCGTCACACTCTCGCCCCCACCGATTTCATCTCTCCCACTTACAAGATGCTTTAAAGGTTCTGATTTTCAACATATCGAACTAATGCAAAAAAAAAAAAAAAAAAGCGTGTGGCCTTCACTACTGAGTCTTTTTTTGGAAACCATCGTTGTTGAGAGATGGGGAAAATCTGAATGTATAAAGCATTTTTCTTTTTGTCAGTGAAACTGCCGCCTGTAAGGTGTTCTCATGTAATAGAGAGGAGCTCCCCTTTAAGTATAAGTTTGGGGATCTTTAATCTTCCATATTCTCATCTTTGTCATCCCAGGGGTGTCACGACTGTAAAAAACCTAAACCATTAGAAAGCAGCTACTACAGACGTGGGAGAACTACGCTTGCACGTGTCAGTGCCGCATGGAAGTTAGCTAATGAGGCGCCCCATGCGTGCGCCTGCGTTCCTGGGAGGCATGCTGAATGAGAGGGTTGTCTCCCTAAGATATATTAGTTTCAGATAAAATTATGGTCATACCTCTCCCAAGTAGAATAGAGTTCATTTCCTATTGGAGTGATTACAGTCTGGTACCTAACAGATTTAGGAACCAGTTCATTTCACAGTGGAAACATTAAACCTTTGATGCACTGTTAAGTGCTAATGCTACTGTGGCAATGTTTGTTTTCTGTTTTCAAAGTCCTTAGTAATTTTCTCTCTGCAATCAAATTACAGTTCATATTTAATTTGTAGATTCATTCATTGCTTCATATAGCTCCATCCAGTCAGGTGAAAGAAATTTATATAGTGTTGCCTTATTTGGAAAATGGAGGTTGGTTCTTCAGAAACCGTGTTAATACTTTTAATAACTCTGCAAATATTTATTGTGCATCTGTGATGTGCTCAGCACTGTTTTTAAAGCACAAACTGTTGCAGGCTGATTTCAGTGTAATACTTTGTTTTTTATCTGCGCTTTTGATGGTAAAAGTTTCTTGGATGGAGAAAGCCTGGAAGGTTTCCACCAAAGCCTCAGAATTTTCAGGCAATCTGCTTTTTTTTTTTTTCTCTTTCCTAATGAGAAGTTAGTGGAGAAATAAGACAAAACCAAGCCTGGGTAAACTGGCGGAACCCACAGAAGGTGTTCTAAGTGCAGTCTAATCACAGGACTGTACATGTTTCTTCCACTCCTAAATTTTACACACAGTGTGATGTAAAAAGATACATGTGATGGTGACCCTCTCTCTTCAGGACGTGAAAGGACAAAACCGATCACCTGGCAGATCCCATGGGAAGTAGTGCTGTTCAAGACTTAGGTAGAGGCCAAGCCGACCTGGGAGAGGCACGAATGCATTCCTTTGCAAAGTAACACCTGCCCTTACCTGACAGTTTTGCTCTCGTGTAAGGGGTACTTGAGGAGTCACAGGCCTGGATAGTTTGTGCTTGTGTTTTAATTTCTTCAGGTGATGCTGAGCTGATTAATGTCCCTGGAAGGGAATTTTTAACTTGCCTTAGCTGTTCTTTCTGTGAGTTAGGTATATGACTGAAGTTTTTTTTACACTTTTTAAAATTATATTGGTTAATTCTCCATTGCTTTGTGAACTCCATGTTATGTCATCCTGGTTTCTCAGTCCTATCAGTTTCTGATGTCACATTGGAATAGCACTGTATATTTTGGCTTTTTTATGACTTTCTGATTGTAGGTACAGTCTAAAATCTAAAAGTTGTGACTTCATTGTGATGACATTGTTATGACAGAGTTAATAGATTAGGATATGATGCACAATGCCAATATTAGAACATAGTACATTCTTATTCAAACCATTTCTGAATAATCTGAAAATTTCAAATGAGAATTAGAAAAAAAGAAGTGACTGATGGTAATAATAGTAAATTTATACCTGAAAGGGTTTTTTTAAAGTCTATTTTGCAAAGAAAACTTACTAGCCCCACCAAAATCTCTGCTTCTTGTGTTTGATAACAACCATTGGTTTTATCATTAAAAAGAATTGATGAAAAACTTGTACAGAATGGAATGGAAAAAGGGAAACTACATCAAACACTGTCATGAAAAGCCCACTGCTACCTATTACCTATGACTTACCAAACTCCAAGAAAATTTTTTGAGAAAATAATTAAATCCAAATATTTTTATTTATTAAAATGACTGCCCATTAATGGTTGGTAATGATCCCAACTTAGTTTCACTGTGATCCAAAAAGTCAGACATTCCTCCCATTTCTCAAGACCTGATAGTGTATTTTTTAGCCTGTATGCTATTTTTTTAAGCCCTAATAATTAAACAGCATTAACCTGCTCTCTCCCACCCTCCCAACATATCCTGGGGGTAAAATTATTTATCCTCAGTGATAGCCAAGTAAATTATTCTCCATAAACTAACTTCTCAATTGTCTGTACTATCCTGGCCAAATTTCTTGGAATTTAATCAGGCAGTGCTTATCGTTAACTTGAACTTCCTTCCACAAAGATAACCGATAGCCCCTCTGTAACCATTTCTCCGTGCTCACATTGCAAATAGTCAAAATAATAGACCCCAACTGCAACTTCAGAGGGCCCATTTGTAAACATTTCACACAAGAACACTTGCAAAGATTTCTTCATAATGTGAATTTTTCCTTTTTTTTAGTCCCAGAAGTATTTCTTACAGTTTGGACATTGTTCCCCCTCAGATTTTCAACTTGAAGCTTTAATTTGCACTGAATTAATTAACCTAGTTAAAATTTTTAATTATTTCTCTTTAGCTGACATATTTGGAAGCAAATTACAGTATGTTTTCAACAATACAGGTACTGCCTGTTAACCTGGAATTTTAGTGCTTCTAAGAAAAGTTTCCAGAAAAAGACAGCAATAGAGTGAGTGGTTTTCTTCCCAATTACTATTTGATTTTTTAAATGCCTTTTTAAAATTTGTCTCGTGACAAAATAGTTATGTGTTCAATTAATTTATATTTTATCCTTTTTTCAATTCTGGTTATGTAAACTCAAGTACTTTATCTGTTCTTTTAAGGTATTTTATAAAATGAATGTTAACTAAATGCAGAGTTGGTATTTTCTTTTCAAATGAACACAAAAATTTCAGAGCATTTTATGTGGTATTTTTTTCTTCATGGTAAGCAAAAGACATTTAAAAGAAACTGGACAAAGTAATGCAAAGTAACTATCCCATATCGTTTTAAGATACTTGCATAGATAAGCCCCTCCATGTTTTAGAACTGAAAGTGAAAGTTGTATTAAGCTTCCAGGTAAAAGAATACCATGTCTGGGAAAGGCATAAGGATGATACACCATATAATTGATAATTCCTAATGAACAGTAACATCTGTTCTCTAAATTCTTGATTTTTCTAGTCCTTTGTTACAGGCCAGTATATAGTGGGGAGAGAACAATGGAGAGGAAACCAACATGAATAACTTTTTAAATCAAGAACCAGCCCTGGCTGGTGTGGCTCAGTGGGTTAAGTGAAGGCCTGTGGGCCAAAGGGTCACGGGTTTTATTCCCAGTCAGGGCACATGCCTGGGTTGCAGGCCAGGTCCCCAGTAGGGAGCGTGCGAGAGGCAACCACACATTGATGTTTCCTTCTCCTTCCCTTCCCCTCTCTCTAAATATAAATAAAATCTTTAAAAAAAAAAAAAACCATAGAAGAATATTGTGAAAGTCATTGGTACATGCAAAATCCCATGCATAGTAGTAATAAATAATTATGCCTTCAAAGAATATAGTACTAAATAGGGGGTACACATTAGCAAATAATTCTTAGTAAATGCTGTACATAATTTATCACCTTGTAATGGAATTCTGAGCTTATCCTAAGTGTGTAGGAAGTGTTTTTGAGCCCTTAAGGTATGCAAGGAGCTTAGTATTAAAGCACTTAATCCTTTCAATCACAATCATGCCTCTCCTAGGACTGTCAAGCAAAGTATGCTGGAAAGTTCCACAGGTGATAAGGTTGAACAGCCTTTTGTTATCCTAAAAGAGGAAGTAGGTTTTTGTTGTCCATAAGGAAGTACTCCAGAAGTAAAGAGTTTTAGCTAGGAACAGCACACATAATAAAAATACTGCTACTCGGACAAAGGCAGGAAGTCGTGTGGGGTCTGAGGAACACTGAAGAGACTGGGAGGTGGTATGTTGGTATCCGATGGTAAAGGACCATGCAAGGCACTCTAAGACCCTTGGGACTGTACAGTTAGGAAACATGCTGGTGGTCAGAGATAACAATAACCTTGAAAATACTCAGAGGAATTAGGGTGTGCCTGACATAAATTGCCAGGACAAAGAACAATCAGGCAAAGGGCTAAAGGAGATTTAATTCTCATGCTGCTTCTTAACATTTATTTTTCAAGGGAAACTTGGACAGTATTCTTAATTATCCATTTTTGCTGCCGTTTCATCCCTACAGCCACTACCATCTTGTGGCTCTGAATCATGACTCCATAGAATTTTAAATAGCCTCTAAGTGACCTCCATCACTCTAGTGGGAGAATCAAGTTTCTGGAATTCAAACCCAATGTTACCCCTCAATCTAACACCTTTATGGCTTTCTACGGTGGCGGTTCCTTGCCTGCATTCCCCTTTATACTTGCTTTCCAGCCCAGCCCCTCTCCCTTCTGCTGCGCTTGCAATTGCCCGTGTGTGCTGTATGTCCGTGTACACGTGAGTTCTGAATCTTTCTTTCCCTATTTCCAGCCCGGCCAACTCTTTTTCTTTAAAGCCAGCTCAGGCACTGGCTCTGTGAATCATCTCACAGGTTCAGTTGAGCATGGTATCTTTTATGTGTCACAGCACCAAAGTCATATTTCTTAACATGTGATGGTGCAATTACTTCGTTCTTGAACTTCTTTACTAAAGGAAGCATGTCTAATTTATGTCTGTGTCCCAAGCTCCTACTAGTGAGCCAAGGACATAATACACAATAAAACATTTCAAATAAAAGTTGCACACTTAAATATAAAG